CTTAGCCAGCAGAAAAGGTAGCCCAAAGCTTTTAAGTTCTGTACATCACCATAGCATTTAGATGCAATAAACTAATCAGTTGACAATGCAAATGTCCTAGAAGTTCTGAAATCAAATCAAAGTGTTTACTGTCATATGCACAGTAAGGAAACATGTTTCCCTGCACAATGAAATTCTTCATTTTCTGTCCACAAGGAATGCCAAACAATATTAAGTCTAAATATAAAATAGATAAATAATAATACAAAATAAAGGCAATTTTAAAAACAGCAAGTGAAAAGTATAATAAAATATAATAAGAATATATGCTATATCAGCTGTATGTGCAAAAGTCAGCAATGAATGTGTAATTATACATGTGCAAAGTGAGAATGTAAACAGTCAGGTGCAGTTACATGAAGTAATTCCTGATTATAAACTCCTGTCAGCTGTTTAGGAGTCTGATGGCAGTGGGAAAGAAAGAGTTCTTAAGTCTAGAAGTACTGCATTTCACACTTTTGTACCTCTGGCCTGGTGTGAACAGTCCATGTAGGGGGTGGGTGGGTCCTTGAGGATGGAGGCAGCTCTCCTGCCGAATCTGCTGTGGTAGATACTCTGCAGAAAGGGCAGTGGAGTCCTGGTGATCTTCTCAGCAGTCTTCACTACTCTCTGCAGGCGTTTGCAGGCTAGGTGTAAGTGTTGGGGTGACTGTGTTTTTTCTGTGACTGCTCCTTTTTGTTCTACTACAGACCTGCCATTTTTTAAGTCCAAGTTAAGGACTTATCTGTGTACACTGGCTTTTAGTTCCTAGTAGAGTCCTGACACTTTCAGATCCTCTTTGTGTTTTTTCATTGTTTGTTTTACTTTCTATCTTCTGTACCATGTATTTTATTTTTCTGTTATTCTGTGCAAAGCATGTCAGTCAGCAGTTGTGTTTAAGTGCTATAATGAAGAAATAAATGTTGATTGATTGATTGACTGATAGAAACCTGACTTGATAAGCAACTTTATTGTTCTCCCATAGTCATATAAATGATAAGTATGGTTTCATACAGAAAGAATGTTTTTCTAATATACAATCTAAATTGTTCACAGCACAGCACACTATCAGTGTCAATGTCGTTGCCGAATTTATTTATATAGCAACATTTAAAGCAACCATAGTTGACCAAAGTGCTGCACCAGCAGGAGTAGAAATAACAAACAAGATTAAAACTGTTTACAAAATAAAACAATATAAAATAAATAATCACAAGATAAAAAATGTAAATAAACAGAATATAAGCATGAAATATTAAAACAATGTGTCTTTACGCAACTGAACACCAATGAAAACAGGTGAGTCTTTATCAGAGACTTAAAAGTTTCAAGTCAGAGGGTCCCATAGATTTGGTGCAGCTACAGCAAAAGCGTGGTCAAAAGCTTTGTTCTGCATTTTGGATTAACTGGAGTCTATTTAGATCTGACTGCTCAATATCCACACAGAGGGAGTTACAGTAGATATAATCCACTTGTTAGCAACAAAAGACTAAACTTCAGCTCAAGTCTGTGAACTTGCTGTAAATTCCTATATTTTATAAATACAATGTGAAAAGTGAAGGTGTCGCCCTTGAATGTATCTACTCCATAGCTATTAAATCAAACCTAAAATATAATTTCATATCTGTCAAAACATGTCCATCAGGCTTCAAGAGTCAAGAATAAAGTCCAACTTTGTACGCTTATGCAGTTTTTTGAATCACTGTATCTTTTGCTCAATGTATTACACCTCTGTCCTCGTGACATATTTTTGACAGTCACTGTTGTAAATTTGTATTCATATTGGGGAAAGCAGAAACGTATGTTTTCACTTCATATTTGTATTTTTTTAAGTTGTAACCTTTTAAGCATATTCTCACAGACAAAATACATGCATTACATAGTTTATATATGATTTGATTTATACAAGAGTTTACAAAAGTAGTTTTGTGTGCAACTTATTAATATATGCACAACCTTAGATTAATACGCACGCATATTATTAACAGCTGTCTTACCTCATATATTTGTAGCTAAATAGATAATTTGTGAAACGAACACCCCACCCTTCATTTGTGATACACCGTCCTCTAGCGGACAGTTTGTCATCTAAGGAGGGCCTGCCGTGCCCTTCTATGTCCCGCCTCGAATCCAAAAGGGGCGCACATTTTATGACACCGGCCCGTACGACCGGGCGGGGTAAAATCTGTGGCCAACCAATCACCTCCAATTGGAAACCCCACCCCGACGGGCTGTGAGTGTACAGCTCTGTCGCATTGAACCTCCCAGTTGAGACTACGCAATTTGTTTCCATGCG